TCTTTTCTATCTCTATCTATCTTTACTTCAAAACTCTTTTCATACTTTTTTTTTTGTCTGTACAATCTATTAGTGAGTGTCTTTACATTATCCTCAGATTCTTTGTAATCTTTATTCTTAACAAATTCTTAAATTTCAGTGACAAAAAAAAAAAAAAAAAAATTCTTAAATTGATCTCCTCTTGATCCTTACTTTTCTAACTTTTAGATAATAGAACTTCATTCCCCAGCTGTCAGCAAACTAGAGTTTTAATGGTTTAGAAAAAAAACTGAAATTTAGACATAAATAAAAATAATAAATTTTTATATTTTGAGATATTGGTCCAGTAGCATCAAAGGTGCTCTTTATACAGTATAAAGAAAACTTAATAATTAACCCATATGCTTGAAACTGTAGTCATTTAGTGATAAATGACTTGGACTACACACAACGAAAATGTTGAAACTTGTTTTCAAATCTCTTCCAATAAGGGTGTTGAAGTTTTGAGTAAACCTATGTAGCATCAACATGCGTTGATAAGTTTAAGGGTGTTGAAGTTTTGAGTAAACTATCAACATGTGTTGATAAGTTTTAACAGCTGAATTTTTTCTTTTTTTTGTGTGGGACAGTTTTGCCACATGACATTATTGGATTGGAAGAAATTATTAGACATATTTTTTCATGCTCTATAGATAGGGACTACTTTCATTTCATTTGGATATAGAAAAATATTTTTATTTTTTCAGTATAATCAATTATTGTAATGTTTTAAACTTTTAAAAATTGATTTCAGTTTTTTTAATAATAATAAATTAGTATTATTATTAAGTTAAATACAATAAAAAACAAAAAAAAACATGATTTAAAAATGGTATGGTAGGGTAAGATGTTGAATTTTTTAAAACAAATTATTGTAGAGGTAAAAAATGAAGTGGATGTTGAAAGTGTACACTCGCTAGTGTACACTCAGTACTGGCTGTACACGTACTAGTGTACACTCGCTAATGTACACTATGTACTGCATGTACACGCGTTAGTGTACACTCAGTACTATACACTTAGTGTACACTCGCTATTTATATGTTATTTTAGTTTTTAATTTAATTATTAATATGTAATTATAATATTGTAGGAAAAATAAATAATATGAATTAAAAATTGTGGGGTAGAGTGTTGAATTTTGTAAAACAAATTATTGTAGAAATTTAGAATGAAATGAGTGTTAAATAAATTAGATGGAAGAAAGAGAATATGATGTGGAATATTAAAATGAAAAAAATAAAAGTGTTAAAAGTAGAGAGGGTATTGAAACTATTGTACATACAGTGAAACCTCTGTAAATTAATAATGTTGGGACTACACCAAAATTTTATTTTTTTATTAGTTTATAGAGATATTAATTTATAGATATACTAATTGAACCAAAAACTTAATTTGTGACTATAAAATTATATTAATTTATAGAGATATTTAGTGTATATTAATTTATCGAGTATTAATTTATAGAGGTTATACTGTAGTTTTATAGGAAGGAAAGTCATTTCCGATACCCAAACTCAGTGAAAAGATCACCTGGTGATTACATTGGACTTGCTACTCTATCTATTTACATTCCTCTGCTTATGCCTCACTACAAGAAAAATGCGTTTTAATAGCGGACGAGGATAGCATTTTTTACGTTTGTGCTATGATTGATATACCCGTGTTTTTAAGATAACGTTTGTATTTTCAGAAACGTTATGATAGAGTGGTATACTTAAAAACGCTATGGAAACTTAGGATTTAATTGCAAAACTAACTAAAACGCTATGTTTGGATCTTTGAATCTTTAAACCCTAAACTAACTTTTAAACCCTAAACTTTAACAAACAAACTCTAAATTCTAATATTATTTAAAAATTAACTTCAATTTTAACTTCAAACCCTAATATCCAACACTTATCTATAACTTTTTGTATTTTTAAAACTTTAACCTCATACCATGTATCTAACACACGAAACCCTTTACCTAAACCACATACCACATACTTCAAACGATATAACCCATCCTTTTTTTTAAAATTGAATCTCTTACATTTTTTAATCTATATCCTAACATTATATCATGTTTAAAGCATAAAGCTCAAATTTCTTTTTCAAACTTGAATTTCAGTTATTATCCTAAAACCTTTTGATTCTATATTTCAAACTCTAAACTCTATAATAAAAACACTAAAACGTTCATTTTTACATCTTTTACCTGAAAAATAAATAAAATAAAATACTAACTAAATTTCTTAAAATATTATCGAAAAGATAATATGATATAGCAAAAAAAGATAGAAAATAATGAAAAACACTCATTGGCTATTGAAAATTGGTGGGGATAAGCAACAGTTAATCTCCACCGTTGGTAAACCTTAATCTTGGTGATGAGCTCTCCTCTCATTGGCTAATAAAGAAGGGCAAAGATCACCCCTGGTTAGATCACAACCATTGACTAAGAATCATCCAACGGATGTAGTTAAACTTTTTTTTGTATTTCTTATTTCTTTTCTCCTTTGTCTCTTCTCCGCCTCCTTCTCCTATTCTCCGCCTCCTTCTCCTCTTCTCTTTCCTTTGCAAGTCTCTCACAGTTCCAGAACTTATCTCTCTCACTTTTTGTATCGTAAACGAGTGATTCTTACATTGTCATGCATCTCTTATGCTTTAGTATATTTGGTCTGTAAATCTAAGATGTGAGAGAAGAAGAAGAGTCAGAGAAGAAAACAAGATTCGTCGGAGAAGACTAGTTTTTCTAGCCGCTTCTCAGATCCATATTCGCCGGTATTTCTCTTCATCGTACTACTACCACCGTCACCACACTGGTCACCTCTGTCTCTCTCTCTCTCTCTCTCTCTCTCTCTCTCTCTCTCTCTCTCTCTCTCTCTCTCTCTCTCTCTCTCTCTCTCTCTCTCTCTCTCTCTCTCTCTCTCTCTCTCTCTCTCTCTCTCTCTCTCTCTCTNGTGGTGACGAATGGAAGAGGACGACAAGGACTCCACGGCGGCTCTTGTGATGTGGAAGACGATGACGGCTAGCATTTTTGCTTCTAGGTTTTAGATTAGGGTTTGGTTTAGATATAAACCGGTTTAAGTTTAAACCAATATTACTTTGTAAACCGATTTTATAATAAATCAAATTATTGTTTATTTGATTTGTGATTTTAATTTTTAATTTTTTTTTATTTAATTTTTTTTCTGTAATAACAAAAAATAAACGCTATTGAAGAATATTAAATTGCAAATAAAAAAGCGCTATCGATTCCAAAGAAAAGATAGCATCGCGAAAAAGTGTTATCTAATGTGTCATACCTACTATGACGGGCGATGATACAGCGTTCCTTAAACCGCTGTTAAATCGTTAGATAACGTTTTTCGTCCGCTAATAAAGCTCATTTTTCTTGTAGTGCCTTCCTTATTATTCCTTTAACTAAACATCTTAGTAACGCTTCAGATCCATTCCAGGCAATTCATTAAGCTGTCCTCAGAAGCAAACTGCAAAAATCCGCAAAAATGAATAACTTGTCTGTCAAGTTTCTCAACAGTTTTTTTAAGTATGCAAACAAGTGTTCTTTATAGATCTTACGGAACGAATATCAGGGAGAGACCCTAAATCAGCATTCTCCAAATCTGATACCATGCAGTTTCCATAACTCATATTGAAATCTAAGTAATTAGGGTTCTTCTCTACAAGGGACGACGATGAACATTCATCGTTCATGTACACTAACTCTTTTGCCACTTGAGCTATTACGTGCGAACCAATAGAAGTTCGCTGATTTAACCAGAAAACATAAAGAAACCATTATTATAGTGCATGAAATAACGTCATAACTTGCAGAAAAAGAAACTAGTTAACTAAACCTGTTGTTGCTGATACATGATCTTGGAAACAACGTATTCACCAGTCTCTTCTTCTTCTCTTCCCAAGTGATACTGGTGCATAACCCATTTAGATTTCTCAGGTTTTAATCCCTTCTTGGCGCTCTTGTAGAGCACCATGAACTTCTTGCAACCCTTCTGGACTCCATTAATCATCACGGGTTTGGTTTTACCGGACTTGCGCCAACGTAAGGATGCGTCTTCCAGACCAGACGGTGTGATCCATCTCCTCTTTCTCTCCCCCTTGGGATATGCATGCACCGTCTTGTTAAAGAAGAAGGCACTAGTTCCATCCTTATTCACACCTGCAAAAACAAATGACTCAAGGCCAACTCCAGAGACACTAATCACTAAAATTAGTGTAGTTTCATTTCCGATAAGACACTAGAAATAACTAGGGCTGGACACGGGGCAAGTACTCGAAGTTTTTTCTATACTTATAACTCGACTTGCCCCGTTCGAGTATTAAAAAATTTGCCTTGTACTTATACTTGCTAATACCAAGTACTTGATTAAGCAAGTACTTGTTAATATATGAGATACTTGCAAGTAACTTGATGTACTTGTACTTGTTTATCTAATTTTTTTTTTGTATTTAAATTATTAAAATAGAAATTTAATTCCCATGATTTTAAAATTAGGTGATTGTCTTTATTTATAGTAAAAGAATTTGTTTGATTTTTATGTTACAATAAATGTGAGATAATATAACAGAGAATTTGATGAAAGAAAAGAGAGAATTATATGATTTCATATGTTTGATATATTATATAAGTATTAAACTAAGTGACATAACAATGTAAATGTTATAAAAAATTTTGAAAGTCAAGTACGAGTCAAAACGAGTCAAGTAGCTATAATAAATTTAATACTTGTTACTTGGTTTAGACTTGTAAGTAATGAATTTTTTTAACTCGTTATTTGTCTTGATTATGACAAGTACTTGTGTTTACGGGGCAAATACAGACGGGTAACGAGTTTAAGGCGGATAACGGGTATTTGTGCCCAGCCCTAGAAATAACATCATCTCATTAAAATTGGTGTTTTGCGAATAGTGTTGTACCAGATTCATCATACCAAATATTAAAATAATATATTTTATTATTTAGTTTAATTGTAAATAAATTATTATTATTTAATTAGTTTTAAGTTATAGTTAGAATAAATATATAAACGATCATACTATTTTCATTTTTTACGTTATTAAACAAAAAATATTATTTTTTATATTTTAATTAATCATATTACTATGCAGTGTTATCAATTACAAGAAATTGTAACAAGATATAAATCATTTTAAGTACTTTTCATTTTAAATGTATAAGTTTTTAAATTTCAACTAATATTTTACATAATATCTATTAAATTTATAAATATTTTTAAAAATAATTAGTAAAACATAAAATTATCAGATTTTACATAAATCTAAATGTGAAAAAATATAATTAGTCAATTACAAATAATTAAGATATTAAAATAATTAAAATAAAAAATATAATAGTGTTTTGATGAAAAATAAAGTTGAACACCAAACACCAACTCGTGTTATAGTCTTATAGATGGGGTAGCCTCTTACTAATGATTAAAAACTCGAAACATCAAATCAACAGAGGATAAGTGTTACCTGGAAGGTTCTGGGGGTGAGTGTAGTTGATATCATCTACTGAGCAGATAAAGTCTTGGATAAAAGGATTTGGTTTCGAGCCATCAATCCCACACTTAGCTTCCAAATGTTCGATCACTTCCTCATCAGTTGGCTCGAACTTCACACCTTGAGGAAGGCCTGGCCATGGAGTCAGTACCTGATCAAAAACCAAAACCAAGAACGCAAATATTCACATCATACATGTGACCATTAACGTGAAATCATTAGAGAGTTTGTAAATAGTTCTTTCACATTTCTGTTGTCGTTCCGGTAACCGCAATTGGGACAGTTTATATATGCTGGGTAGTCTTCAATCTGTAGATCTGATGACGCATACACATTTTTTACATTCTTCACAATCCATGGACCATCCACAATCCAAGTCCTGCCAAGAGTTTTCATTATTTTAGCGACAAGAGCAAATCCATAAAAGGTTAGTAACATGTTTATGGACTATGGTAACTAGACTCATTCATCTCTTGTCGGAAACAAGACAGAAGAGCTTTCATGAATCATTCAATCTACAATAGCATCTCCAACACTCTCCTATATTTGCCTCTATAATAACATTTAGAGGTAAAATCACTCTAACCTATCTTTATTTCCACTTCTAAAATAGAAATTGTTATTTTTTCCTCTATTTATAGAGGAAAATTAGAGTTTCTCTATAATTTATTCTATATTCGAAGATTTTTATTTTAGAGAAATACAATGGAGCAAAATCCATCTCTATTATAGAGTTTTTCTATTTTAGAAGTAAAAATAAGAAAAATACATTGGAGATGGTATTAAACTGAAACAGAGGAAAAAATACAAGAATGCCCAGAACAGAACAAGAGGAGCTGAAAATTTGCATGTTTAATCACAAACCCGATAAAAAAAAGTTCAATCTTTCGAGGCTTTGAACAAAGATAAGACTTGCTGACAAAAAAAAAAAAGAACAAAGATAAGACTTTTCTGAGTTTTAAGAGAAGAAACTTAAATAGCATTATCACAATCGTAGATATAGTCACTGGAATCAGCTTAGGGTTAAGAAAAGAAACCGTATCAGCAAAAGATCTGTTTCTTAGCAGATCTTTGCATTGGTGTTTTACAGGTTTCTAGCTTACCTGTCCATCGCTGGTGAATTAGAGAGTGAGAAAGAGCTTTTTCCACTAGGCTAAGTTATATGGTTTGAAGACCAGAGAGAAAAGACTTTGGACAGAGAGAGAGAGAGAAGAAGTATATACGTGTGTCGATGAGCGGGAAGTAGACTTATTAAAAAAAAAAATTACATCAAAAACAGTAGACTTAATTAAGAAGTTCGTTTACCCCCGAACCTGAAAGCTTCTCATGAACACAATTAGAGAACGTTAGGTTCAGATATCTGGCTCGGATAACGAACCTGACTTTGATGGAAATTCGTGGTTTACGTAGGGCCAGGCAGGCTACCTTGTTCACCAAGCTCCTAAAACTTACGATAATTTCTAGCTGTAGTGTATTTCCTCCTACACATTCGGACAAAGGGTAGTGTACCCATCATCTAAAATGGCAAAAAAACAGAAAAACAAAAATACAACCAGTTATATCTAATTCTTCTAATTTATTATGTTAATTTTATTTTAAAAAATTGTTTAAAAACCCAATAAACTTTCGTATAATAATAAATTTAGATAAAATAATCACATCATTTTATTTCATATTAAACTATGATATTGTTCTTAATCCTAATTCATCTTAATTGTTATTTGAATAAGTCAAAGTTCTATATGGATCCAAGTGAGGATATTTTTGTTTTAAATATATATTAAAATATTGTACTTAAATAACATATAATAATAAATTTAGATAAAATGATCACATCATCTTATATCAAATCTAATTATGATGTTGTTCCTAACCCTGGTTCACCTTAATTGTTACTGGAATAAGTCAAAGTTCTGTCTTGTTCTGCGTAAGGATAATTTTTCCTGCATATTAAAATTTTATATAAAAACAATAATCATTACCAAAAATGTCCAATATAATAAATGAAAAGAAACTTGTCACAAATCATCTATCATAAATGAAAAGAAACTTGTCACAATGTACATCTAGCCATTTTCGATTTTATATGAATAGTTCCAGTAAGTAGTGTTACACGTGGTAGACACCAACAAGTGTCGTTGTAGTATAGTGGTAAGTATTCCCGCCTGTCACGCGGGTGACCCGGGTTCGATCACCGGCAACGGCGATATTTTTATTTTTTATCGAATACACTTGGGCTTCTTTTGAAAATTAAATTCACGGACCAATCTTTCAGAGCCCATGTTGTTCTCGTGAGTCTCATGGACCTATCTTTTAGAGCCCCATGTTGTTCTCGAGAATCTCAATTTTTATCATATTTTACTGAAAAAGGTGCAATGTCCTTGCATATATTTTTTAAGCATCATCACTTTTTGTCAATGTGCGTATGGAATATTACATGGAATCGGAACGAACGAACGAACGAACACTAAGGAACCACCCAAAAAAAAAAAAGAATCAAGAAGACTACAATCACCGTGAAAAATTTACTTGATAAAGTGGTGAGATTAAACGTTTCATCAGCTTAAAGACGACCACCAATGCCCTCCAATGATATTAGAAATAAGAACCTTGAGTACTAAGACGATTCAGAGCATTTGAAGAAGAGAAATGTTTTATGAAGAAGACAAATTTCAATTTTAAAGACTGATGTTTCTGGGGGTAAAGCCATACACACACTGATGAGTCTCTGACAGTCACAGAGAAGGCAACGTTACATAAATACTACACATTTGCCTATCCCTCTCTCTCTGTCAGTCAGAAACTCATTATCATAGATTTGATTGGACATTTATTACTGCTTTATCTATCAGTCATGAAGACATTAAATATAAGACTGATGATTTTTTCAGGTATGTTTATATATATTTTTTTGTATTGATTGATGAATATCAGTGATCCCCGTAAAGAACCTTACGTGGATCAAGCTGACCACTGCAGTAGCTTGATGAGACGATAGAGAGTTCTTGCCTGCCTCTCCACTCTTCACATGGTTTCAACAAGATTGGAGTATCTATAGCACCAGAGTCTACACATAGCATTGTTGTGTAATCCTCATCTCCCATATCAGCTATACTCTTTGCCTTCTTGTCCCATGGGTTCCACACAACTGCTCACACCAAACATCACATCAATTCATTAATTACAAAGCTTCACAAAACATGTTTTTAAGCTTATATATGCACCTGCATTTGGCATGCCTTCCTTACGCAACTCGATAGTTCTCTTCCTCTCATGATCTATGATTGCAATCTTTGTTGGAGTGTTCAAGTACACTCTATCAATCTGCAAGTAAAGGCAGAGAGTAGGTTGAGATTCTGTTTGTTTTTAAAGTCGTTAGAGATGGATAATCAAAGGAAAGATTCGATCACCTACCTCACCGTCAAAGGTAATTGCATCTGCCTGCTCGGTGAATCTTTCTTTACGCATCAAGTTGTCAAGATAATCAAGTGTCTCCAAACCTTCAACCCTAACTTCACTGCAAAAATGTGATTTAAGATTACTAATGATGCTTTTAAATGAGTCCACATATAAAACAGAGGAAAAGTGACACTACCTTATGTCAGATACATATAAGTAGTTACGAAGTGCAAACATAAAGGAGAACGCCTTGGGGTCAGTGTTCCTCACACGCGGGATTATAGTAAGCTTGCCAGGACTAATAGTTATGCGAACACGAAGCTCAAAGCTGCAACAAAAGAATTGTATATTATAAGCCAAGAGATGATGAAATGGAGAGATAGAAATATCAGATGTACAAGAAACCTATGAGGCCATATTTTCAAATCATCTTCAGTAGACTTCAGCACTAAATCAACAGTTGATTGTTGGTTAGCTGGAGGAAGTGGCGAAGGATCATTATCAAACGACCAGAACCTGTTCCTTGCAAATCCATGTCTCTCAAGTGCACCGAGGTTCCCAAACTGTGGAAAACAGATAGGTATACCTCCCCTTATCGCCTTAGGTGGCTTCATTTGCGCCTAAACGAAACAAAGTTAACAACTAAGACATAGACTCATTCTTCTTCTTCTTCTTCTTCTCTAAAAGAATAATTTTAAATATTATCTGATACATAGCTGGAGAAAGAAAGCTGGCTAAGAAGAAGAATACATTCACATTTCCATCTCTATCAAACATACTAAGAAAGTAAAGATATTAAACGCTGCCAAGATTGATCAAAGCTAAGATGACTGAGTTTGGAGTATTGTTACCTTGGTGCTCATATAGAGCAACTGCTCTTTCCTTTCATTCTTCCAAGAAACAACTTGTCCTCCATATAGACTCACCTGCAAAAAACCATTCCCACCCAAAAATTAAATAAAAAAGAGATAAAAAAAGAGAAGATGTAAGTAACCACACAACCTCTTCTTTACTGAGACTGCATAATAAAGCATTTCTAGTCCAGACAAGATATTATCATTAACAAAGTTAACATCATAAAAATTAAGGACAGTCTCAAATAAATTAAAAAAAAAAGAAAAGAACCTCAGCAGAAGAAGAACCGCTAGGATCGGTCAAAAGAACACGAGAGGAACCGTCACGAGCGTTGAAAACATTCAAAGGCATCGACTTTGGTCTTAACAACAACCTCGATCTTATTCCCCTCACCAATTGCCCTCTCTTCCACTCCAGCTTCTCATAAATAAAATAAAATAAAAATTCAGATGCATGCATCAAAATAAAATAAAAACGATGATTTTTATATAACATCAACCATATATGATCAAATACTAAATCATGATTCGTAACAACACATATATATATAAATAAAACTGGGAATATAAAATTAGAGAAATCAAAAATTGATTGATAGATGGAGAGATCAAGAGTGATAGATAGAGACTGTTGATGCGTTATTAAATGCTGACCTTGAATTGTTTCGAGGATGGCTGTGTTTTTGATTCTCAGAAATGTTGTTTCAGTGTGGGGAAGGGAACTTAACGAAGAAGAAGAGAGGAGAGCCTGTGCGCATTTGTAGTTGTTGTTTCTCTTTGTAACTGCGTAAGCTTTTTGATGTTGACACGTGTCCTTTTCTTATTTGTTTTTTTTTTCTATTGGAAAACGATTTTTTTTTTTTTAATGTTATTAATTTTTATGTATTTTCTCCCTAATTAAGTCTTTTTATTTTGTTGATAATTAATGAGAATCCACTTTAACAAAGTCATTTTACAGAAAATATAATAGTAAAATATCTTTCAAACAATATAACTAATAAATTATATTTTATCCAAGAAGATGTTAATTTTGAAACTTTTTATTTGTTTCACTAAAATATTAATTTTATGTTTTAAATCTAATTTTATAGCTCATTTATGTCATATCCATCCATATTAATTAAAACAATCACAACATATCATAATTTTGTGGGAGTAGATTATTTATTAAAATTGAATTAGTTTTGTAGATTTTTATTATTAAAATGTTTGAAAACCATAATTATCATTTTTGTGGAACGGAAGGAATCCTAAATAATTACACTTGTCTTAATATAACTAGCAGTGATTTATGATACATTAATAACACATATATCTTCATTGTATCTAGTTAGGGAAGATCACTCATATTTTAATATGATGACTGATCATTAAATTATGGTAAATCTCTATAAATCTCTTAAATAAATTCTTTTAAGTTTTTATCACAAAAATTTATTTTAAAAATTAAAATGATCTAAATAATATTTTTATTATAAAAATTAAATTATTTTTTATTTGAAATATTATCTTTAAATCTCCACTACTCATCTCTAAACAAAAAAAAAAATCTAGAATTAGTTAACCCAAAAGATATAAATATTTATTTAATTATTTTGATAAAACATTTAATATATTTTGGTAACTTTTATTTTTAAAATCTATATTTGTGACAAAAAATCTTTTAGCTTTATCCCAAAGAATTTTTCTTAAATTGTCCACCAATCTCTTTTAAAAATCTTTGGTCATCTCTTTTAAAAAATCTTTTAGCTTTATTATTAGCACACAAAATAATATTCCTTTCCTTTTCTGACGTCATATTCCCTTCCAACAGTAATTAAGAGAAACATTATAGTTAGTTTTACAGCTTTCACTCCCCACCCTATTTTATAAAGTTTCATTTTGTAAATCAAATTAGAGCTTTATCCGATCAAATTAACAATAACTAAAATTCTGACAAAGACTAGGAATAATTTTTTAGAGCACTCGCAATTGTGTTACCCTTTAGAGTCTTTACTTTTTAATTTTTTATTTATTATTATTTTTAGATAAAAATAAAATAATTACCAACCAATCGTATGCCGACATGTGTTGTGGAGACCCGCAAATAGTGCAAGAATTCGTTAAGAAAAAATCCTTATTTAAAGATTTTAAGGATTAATTCTTAGTTTTTTTTTGGATTCACTAATTATTTAATTATTTTTTCCTTCAGAATTCTTTTTAAGGATCACATTGGGGGTGGTCTTATAAACTATTTCTTATATTTTGGAAATATTTTATGGAGCTTCAAAAATCCAATTAAAAGCTATAAAGCATTATTTTCATGCATTGCACATCTTAAATATAGTTTTTGTATGTCACTCAGTTTAATATGAAATGAAAGAAGTTGTTTAATTAGTTACAAGAACAAAATGAGCTTCTAGTTGTCAAATAAAACCTAAGTAAGCTTTAAAACCTAAAATTTAAGGTGCTAAGAGTTGATATGCTATTGCATGCCTCTTATATCGGAAGTCAAAACCATGTTCGGATGATGCTTGAATTCCACTTTGAATCACGCCGAGTTTGGTGCCAATGCTTTGTCACAAATCTAACACTATTGCCTGCCAAGCGATACTTTAGTCTTTACGTAAAAGTACGTTTTACAAAGGAAGCATCGAAAGAGGAAATTAAAGGAAGCCGAATGATCAGTATCAATCACTTTTGTTGAAGACATACCATAGCTATTAACTATGTTATATTAATAGTCACATCAATATACAAAGAAAACAAATTTAGTTAATATAAATTACAAAAGTATGCAATGAATCAACTGCTTTTGTATCACGCTACATTATATTACGTAAGGGAGAAAAATAAATAAAATGAGATCTAGCAATCTTTATGTTAATCTTTTTTTTTTTGTAACTATATGATTCCAAATTGATTGTAAATAAGTAGACGGTTCACATTACATTAATATAGTATTTATCCATTCAACTATACAGAGAATGGTGGGGACTAGAAAATGCGTTCTATATTTTTCTAAAATAAACGAATATTAATTATAAATTAAAAGTAGGAAATAAACCAAAGTAAAATAAAAGGCAACCCGAAAGAGTAGATGCCAAATGCATTGTGTCATCAAGCCAAATGCAGCATGCATTATATGTATCGTTTTATATTATAGGCGTAAGTATATATGATTGTATTATCTACACTTTGTTTTACTGAAGCTGATTTTAAAATATACTCCATCCGTTCCTTAAAGATACATATTCTAGAAAAAAAATTTGTTTCTAAAAGATCCATTTTTTATATTTTCAATGTATGTTTTATTAAATAATTGTAAACTTCAAAAACTTAATTGCACTAATTGATTTTTGATTGGTTTAAAATTATGGAAATAAGATAAATACAAAAAACTATGCAAATTTATTGTGTTTTATTAAAAAGTGTGAAAAAAACTATAATATGGATCTTTTAGGAACAGATGGAGTATTACATATATATCTTTATGAGCAACCAATATCCTAATATTTCAAAAATTACTACATAAAAGATTTTTTTATATATATATTTGAGTTTATGGTTTACAGTTTAAGATTTTAATATTCAAGAGAGGATTTAAAGTTTATGAAATAGGATAATTTAGTGTTTTAGTTGATTAATAAAAAATGTTTTGAGGATTTTTCTCTTTAAATGCTATTTTTTGTGACAGAAGCTAAAAATATTATTTAGGAAATTTATTTGTTCTTACAAGCGTCTAGCAAATCCATTTAGGGAGTTTTATTTCAATAAGGTTGGACGAATGATGGGGCATTACGAGTGAGCTAATGATCCATTTCTTGTACTAGTACCAGTGTGGTTTACCAGCTTTACTACTTTGCTTGGGTTACAAGAAAGGGTTTTAAATCTTCAGTGAGAGATCAAAAGCAATAAGATGGTAACATTTATTCCTAAGAAGAAGATTTTCTTTATGGGAACACAAAGTACATGACTTAAATATATACAACAAGACCATGAATTCAACCACAAGAAACTATGTGCTGAGTTTGGAGATCATATCTTCTACCAACTTCAACATAGTTCCAGGTATCCTCTCCCCTTCTTGATCAATCTCCCTCATAATCTGCTCAACAATCTCAATCTTTGACTGTTTGTCTTTAATAACATATCCAGAACAATCCCTCAGCAAAAGCAACAGCTCTCTAGCCATTTCTTTGGCCCTCCTTGTCCCATCCACACTCACTTGAAGCAGTCCTGGCATCACTCCTTCTCTAAGTATCATTCCTCTGTTTGTCTCTCTATCAAAGCTGCATACACTGAGTAATATCCCCACCGCATGCTCTTTACACTGAGCCGTCCCTTCTTCAATGGCTTCAACCAGAACCTCTATTGCTCCAGTGATGCCTGAAATTGATTCTGGTGAATGGTAAACTATGTTTTCGAGCAATGATGCTGCCTTCTCAGCTAGTTCAGAGGATTTATCACAAGAGTTGATGATTTGAAGCAAAGCGTAGGGTGCTCCTGAAGCTGCAACGAGGGGAACAATCTGTTGGAGAGTTGAGAGGTTGTGTAGTGTTGCTATGCCATCAAGCTTGGCCTGAACCGTTAGTCTATCGAGCCTGATGAGTCCAACTAGTAGCTGAATCAACCTGGCTGATGCTATTTTGATCTTGTTTTTGTTGCAAGAAGAGAGGATCAGAAGAAAGGCCATGGCTAGTTCAACTATCACCATCTTGGTTTCTGACTGGAGAATCTCTAATAACATCTGTACTGCTCCAGCTTTCACAAGTCTCACTTTGTTCCTGTATAAGATCCATAAGCAACAAGCCCATGTTATTATTTTCTATGTTACAAAAAGATATGCATGGTAACACACAAATGACAAAACTAACCTTTCACTGCCAAAGGCAAGGCTGAGTAATGCAGATAGAGAAACTTCTGTTGTGATAGAATCTTGAGATTGTAACATTGAGAGTAAAGGAGAAATGATTTCTCTTTCAGCTATTTTTTGTCTTTGTTTCCTGCTTAGATTACTGAGCTCAATAGCTGCTTGTATTTGAGCCTCTCTGTTACCTCTAAGAAGACTCTCTACCACAATCTCTTCCATTGTAGCAGAGCACTCTTCTTCCTCTCTCTGTAAATTTTTGGTTGATAACTTTACTTGGAAGAAGAGTGAGGGAAGGTATGGTGGTGATTGGTGTAGTAAATATAATAGGGAAGAGAAAAAAACATGGTTAGTATTTGGTTGCTTTAACAAGCAATGTTATGCTTTTTTTGGGTATCTATTGTTTAATGTTGAAGCAAACTCACCAAAAGCTCTCTCTCAGCTTCTTTTTTTTTTTAATATGATATATTAAATTTACATGTATAAGATCTTGAAAACCATATGGGAAAGCAAGTATCTGTTTGAATATTTTGTTCTTGATTGCATGATCTATCCAATGTTGATTCCAGAAGATTGAATCTTTAGCTTCCCTCAAGTAGACGCAAGGTAAAAGTTTATCTACATTAATTATTAGTGTCATTGATCCCTAAGTAATATTATCATTGTTATTTAAGCAATGACAAGGTAAGTTCTTTATATTATGGGCATTTATAATGTGATCATTCACGTTATTATAATCTGATTAACTCTATCTTTGCACTGTTTCACAATATTAGAACTAGATCTTAAACATTGACTAAATAGACATAGTTGATGTGAATGTGTATCTTTCTTGTTTTAAAAGCACAAATTATATAAGATGTAATAATTATGTCAACTTTCTCATTAATGCAAATCAATTGTCTCTAATCTACATAAACTGACACATCATACACATTAAAAGATATTTTAATAAAGAAATTGATGTAAACTGATGAGAACGACCATGATTTTGTAATCTAATAAATAATGACTGTGTGACCCATGCATGAAACGAGTTTTTGAATATGATATCTACATAAACAAAGTGTTTTAACATCTTTATCCTTTTCGTTAGGAGTTAGGACAGAGAATATGATCAAGCTTTCTCTCCGCATTGGTCCCCGCTCCTAATATATGTGTGTAAGAAAAAATGCTTTAATTTTCTTCAGTAAGAAGTATAGAATACAAAAAAAAAATTAGTCTCATGTAGCATTCTTTAAAATATATCGTGTAATATTGCTGACTAAAGTCACATATTATAAATTACGCTAAGTTTGTAAAGAACGTCTACAACTAGAAAGAAACCATGCACTCAAGTCACAATGCGAAACCTGCGATTTATTATTTATAATTTTTTCTTGGAATTTATTAGGTGGATAATATTAGTATTTCTTTAGGTGTACTCATGGATCAGAAAAAGAGATCGAATATGATAAAAACTGGAATTCAGTGTTCTTTTGATTTCCATGATATACGGCGCCTTTGTCTTTAAGAAAATTCTTGTTTCACTTTTTTTTTTTTGTTGTTATTATTACTCATGCGTGGAAACACTAAATAAATTTTTGTATGCTCAGTATATGTAAAATAGCTTCTACAATTATGACACAAAAAAGAAGAATTTCAAAACCATAATAAAGATGCACAAGAGTCTTTTAATACGTTGTGGTTACTGCTCACCAGCAACTTCTAAACCAGGTACAATAACTAAAGTATATATCATTGTTTAATCTGATCGACTAATAATTAATAGTTATCTTATATACATTGTGGTTATTAGTTAGTACTCTGATCTTTCATTATAAGTGTCATTTTGGAGTTTTGTATACGGATTAAAGAAATAATTAAATTTTTATATTTTTTATATAAAAACATAATTATTTATACACCTAACTATATTTTAATCAATAGAAAAACAAATTGCTTAATAAAATTAAAAAAAAATTCTTTGAAAACTATAAACGACATTTATTTTGTAACAATTTTTTTTCTCTATAACGATACTTAATATGAAATGGAGGGAGTAGTAATTACCATAGACCAGGTACAATAACTAAAATATATATCACTGTTCTCTTGTTTTAATCTGATCGCTAATACGAACTAGAGATTTTATCCGGGCTACGCCCGGGGGTTTTTATCTTTAGATATTATATTAAAATTGATTAGAAATAACGCTAGTGTAAAAATTTAAAGTAATATATATTTAAAGTCCTTTAATTATTATTTTTGGAAATTTGAAATGTTAAAACTCAGGGTTTGTTGTGTGTTTTCTTATTTGAAATTATTTATTACTAATTNAACTAGAGATTTTATCCGGGCTACGCCCGGGGGTTTTTATCTTTAGATATTATATTAAAATTGATTAGAAATAACGCTAGTGTAAAAATTTAAAGTAATATATATTTAAAGTCCTTTAATTATTATTTTTGGAAATTTGAAATGTTAAAACTCAGGGTTTGTTGTGTGTTTTCTTATTTGAAATTATTTATTACTAATTAGTAATTTTGATCTAAATAACTTTTTATTTTGAAATGTTGTAATTTTATATAGAATAACTGTTATATTTTCTGTTGATTTATTTTTATGATTATAAAATCATTGAGTTTCCATTTTATTTTTTCATATGTCCAAAAGGAAACTAAATTTATAGGTCTAGTTCGTTAGTTTAATATAGATATAATTAGTTTATTTGCTGACTCGAAAAACCAAGATTCTCTACCAAACTATACCAGTTATAGCGTATAATTTTTTAATAGAGAATAAATATAGTCAACAAAATCCTATCGAACTAAATTTATGAGAAAGCATTACCAATAAAAAATTTAGACAAAAACCAAGTCTAAGAACAAATTTCTTAAGCAACCTACCACCAAAACTTTTACATTTAAATCATCTAAATCAGGCAAGGAATTCAAATTATGAATATGACCTCGTGTCTGAGACTTGGCTATTTTCTTTTCTTATTTTTCTTAACTAATCCAAGCTTCTTTGCCAGATAAGATTTCATGATTGCTGCTTACTCTATTCTTCTAGTGAAAACTGAAAAAACGAAGGTACAAATTTAACATATTCGGGAATCTCTTGTCTCTTTCTCTTCTCATTTTTGGTTTCCCTTCACTTTTGGCTATATAAAAACTGTTAAAGATCAATAAGACTTTGTCTCAAGAAACAAAAACAGCAGTTCTGATCCACATGTGATATGTCTTGGTGAAGACGTGGCTGTTGAAATAGGAGGTCTGATCAAAGAAAAGCTCACGCATGAGCTCGTTTAGTTCACAACTCTGTTCGATTTGATATCTTTGAAAGATTTGAGAGCTCCTTCACCAAGCTTATTATCTATAATCATGGGGTAAAACATCAAGAAATAAAATCACAGTTCCATAAACAAAAAAAAATCCTAATAACAAATCACCGTCAATTTCATTGGTCTTCAGTGCAAAATCTGGTACTCCTTTCTCTGCAGAGTGAAGACATATTAAGTTGTATCATAACCTGATGCTCTGTTGACTTGGTTTATCTTCGGAGCTTCTGATTCCAAGATTATCTGAGTTTTCTTACCATCAGCGATGTTGATATGGGCTTGGTGTTCTCCTATTCAAGTAAGAAAAACAAACTATGAGAAACAAATTGAGCAGGCTTTATAGTGTATCTTCCCGTTCAGCGTATCACGTTCCTCAAACGTCTTGTCAACAGTAATCTTCCCGAGTTCACTACGCATAGTTGTTTGAGCTAACTGCATCACAACCTAGATGGGATTCTCAACGCCATAAGACGCCAAATGTGGATTCAAAATCTGAAAAAAACACAAAACCAAAATCAAACCAAAAACTCAAAATAGATCTGAAAGTAAATCAAATCAAAGATTATCATAACAACCTTAACGTATATAACACCATCGATGGGGATGCTGATGTTATCCTTCATAATCCCAGTCTGGTTCGCAATCGGAATCGCTTCCTCCTTGAGGGTATGAACGTAAGCAATACGATCAGCGCCTTTTAATTTCGTTGAGATGAGATTGCGGGAAGAGACACCGGTTTGGGCGACGGGTTTGACCGGACCGGACGGAACCGCCGCTTCGCCGTTTGATCTATAATCGTGGGGGTAAAACAACTTTTGATGGAATATAACTTCAAAAAAGAGATTTTATAGAGAAGGTAAGATGGGGAAGCGAAAAGAATATATTAATGAGAATCAAGAGTGTACATGAGTGGGGGATAATTGATTGTTCGTAGATTAAAGACTGATGTAACGAGCAAAACGAAGAAGACCAAGTGGAAGGGTCTCTGAATCGATTCTGGTAATCGTGGAAAGGGGAAAGGGACTTCTCATATGGACTATACAGAAACATTTGAAGCCCAAACGGTGAAGAACCAAACAAAATTAAATGGTAACGAAGCCCACTCAAAATCCTAAGGTCTCGTTGACGTGGCCGTTTCTTCAAATCCTATTGGTCTATTAAATTTGAGGACGTGGCATAGCTGAGAGGGGAGAGTATTCCCCTTTTAATATAGTATAGATANACTTCTCATATGGACTATACAGAAACATTTGAAGCCCAAACGGTGAAGAACCAAACAAAATTAAATGGTAACGAAGCCCACTCAAAATCCTAAGGTCTCGTTGACGTGGCCGTTTCTTCAAATCCTATTGGTCTATTAAATTTGAGGACGTGGCATAGCTGAGAGGGGAGAGTATTCCCCTTTTAATATAGTATAGATAACAATTAGAACATCGATGTTACAAATTTTGAGAATATCAATTCTACCGTTGAAATGAGTCAGTGATGAGTGAACCACCACAACAAAACAAACACTAGTCACTACTAAGGAAACAAACAAGTTCTTAGAGTAGATTCTAAAAGGAAGTTAAGAAACTGTTTTTTAACTTAACTAAAAAAAAATTAAAAACCAAATCTTAAAATTTTTATTTAAAAACTAGTTTCTTAACTTCCATTAGTAACTCATCTTAAAAATTCGTCTTATTAAGTTAACACTAGATTTTGACCCGCGCTTGAAAGCGCATAACTTTTTATGATTAAAAATTTATATAATTAGGTTTTGTCTTAATTTAAAGAATGTTTTAGTATAAAATCAGTTCACGAAAATTTGTGGTGATGATTGTTTTTTATTAGTTTTTAGTTTCATTTTTTTATTTTTAGATTTTGTTTTAGATTTTGGTTTTTGGTTTTTAGTTTTTAAGTTTCTACTTTTGATTTTCAGCTTTTGGTTTGTGCTTTTAATTTTTAGACCTGTTGAGT